GAGTTCACCGCGTTACGGTAAAACAGGGCTGCTCAACCCTGCTTCTGGAGATGTACCCCCCTGCAGAGCTTAGGTGCAGCCCTAATTTAACACACCTGATACAGATAATCAGGCCCTTGCGTAGCATCTCAGTATTACAGTCAGCTATGTTGAACCTAAGCTGGCTCTAAAACTGAGCCTGATTATCTGTATCGGGTGTGTTAAACTAGGGCTGCACCTAAGCTCTGCATTGTAGTAGATATCCAGGAGCAGGGTTGGGCAGCCCTGCAGCTCAGCAAGTGGGAAAGCCATTTAGCAATACTAAGCACCTGTTGCAAACAGCAGCCAAACAACTTGTCAGATTTAAGGTTCCCCTGTTTAAATGCTCTTCATCTTCACTTACATTTAGCCCGGACTACCTTAAATCTGACAAGTTATCCAGCTAAGCAAGAAATCCTGCTTTCTGAAACAGGTCCCTGTTCTAGCCTGGTTATTGTTATCCATTGCTAGCGCTATTGGTTGATAACACATTAGATGCTATTTTGCGCATATAAACACTGTAACGACATGTCCACAGATAGCAGGTGGACAGTACTGTGTGTACCAGCAATTTTAATGAATAAAGACATAAATGCTAATAGACAGTATGTAACTACAGCTTTCACGTCTGTTGGTAAAGGGTGCAGCCATTTTGAATTCTGAGGTCGGGGTTTTACAGTTCCCTCCGACTTTCCCAGTCAGGATTGTGCCTTCAGGGGGCGTTCCAGTTGAAATTCCTGACTAGGAACTCACAAATTCCGACTTCTGGGTTCAAATGGAACACAGCATTTGAGTCTATGCCTTTCCCCTTCATAACCTTCAGCTGTTTCCAAATTCAGGTGCTGCATCCTTCTGCATTCAAAGGCTGAATGTGTCACAGCTGTGGGAGAAGGCCGTACCATTCCGAAGTCCAATGCGGACTCTTGTGGTGTTTACAACCAGAAAGCAATATTATTGGCTTCTATTAAAAATCTTTAACAAAATGTTTTCCCTGCAGAGCCACGCAAAGTCATTTAGTCCTTTCTAAGGAGATTAGCCTGCAGAGCAAAGAGGCTCATGACTTTCTAGATGTGCTGCACATGATTTCACCTCTGGGGTGTCATTGACCATGCGAGGCTCCTGCGGCCAGGAGGATTAGCTCAGAGAGATTCAATTCCCACTCTCCACTTCTGCAGGGAACAACAGGTGTGAAGATATCACAAAGCTGTTCTGCCCTGATCAGCAAACTGCAGGGTTAACAATCTGACTCGGCCTTAGTTGGCTGGCAGCAGAGGGAGGCTGGGGGAGTTTGGATTAGGGCTTGTGTTAAACCTCAGCTGAGTGCTGCTTTCTTCGAGGATGGTGACTTACAGCAGTGTCTGTTTTATTCTTAGATATTCCTAATGTGAATGAGGATTCAAGTCAAAGCCAAAGTGTCATTATTGTCCTCCCAGCTCTATGATCCATCGGTAATACTGTGTCTTCTGTTCTCAGAATTATGACTGAAGCGATTTTTGACCCTTTACCAAGTTAGGATATGAATATGAGGCTTATTTCTCATACTTAAGAGTGTGGGAGAATCCTGTTTCATTAGTCGTTGCTTATATGTAAAACGAAATAAAACTAAATCATGAGAATCTACGCCAATTTAGCAATACAATCCTGTGTGTGGGGTGATCACCGTTTCAGCACACTGCCTGCGCAGCATCTTAAAGGCAAATTTTTTCGTTCGTTCTGATCCCACCCACTGCCCATGATTTGCTGACATAAATGTGACGCCGTGGGATTGGTCAGCAGGACTAATTATGCAGCTGACTTGGGGGGGGTTGTAATTAAAGATTTCATTTGGGCATTAGCCCTTATAGTGCATCATTCTTATAGCTTATATAATTTTTTTTTATAGTCTATAATTTTATTTGACCAGTCTTGCCAATGAGAATTGAAATAGAGCAAAGGTAAGTACTACCCAGCCAAGATGGATCCTCCAAGATGTGGTGGAGTATAAAAGCACATCGTCTAGCATCAGCCAGCACAGGGCTGATTAAAGTCGACCGAGTCATGGTGGTGAGACAGCTATCAGAGAGGGTGACACTGTTTCTCTCTCAACAGACAAAGAGATGCCAGGGGTCGACGATTGTTCAGCAGGGGTGTTAAGGCGCTAAATGAGAAAAAGCTGAGCATAAGGTGATGGTACAAAACTAGCTACGGAGGACATGAGGCGGAGAACCCTGCCAGACATCTCTCGGAAGAAACCTATGCATAAGTGGGGGTGGAGAGAGTTAGTCATTAGTTGACACCAGAGTGGCATGACCTGGGCTTTGTGAACTACATGTCCCAGAATGCCCTGTACCTACCTGCTGCTTTCCCAGCCTCTGTTGATTGGCTTATTGTTTAGTGATTTCACCTGTTCCTAATTTTAGTTCCTTATATATATGGATGGATGGATGTTGGAGCTGGGGGAGAATGATAGTACAGCTGAGTTAGCTGTATTCTGGTACAGCAAGTTGGAAAGCTATTTAACAGTACCAGGGATCTGTTTCAGAAAGCAAGCTTTCTTCCTTAGTCAGATAACTCGTCAGGCTAATTTTACCCTAGTTTAAATGCCCTTTGTCTTTGCTGACTTACATTTAGCCCAGACTACCCTAAATCTTTCTGAAAAAGGTCTCACTTCTAACCAGGTGCATCGTTAGCCATGGTTAGCAATATCAGTTGATGACGCATTACGTGGTATTTTGCACATAAAAACACCATAGCAACAAGTCCACAGTTAGAGGTTGCACAGCAATCTCTAAAATCTATTAAATCAGTCTGTACAACTGATTTAATGAGCCACAAATGAACTAATAAACATTATAAAACTACAGCTTTAACTTCTGTCGATATAGGGTGCAGCCATTTTGAATCCCGTAGTCAATGTGCCATTGGGGTGATTGTTGGTCTCGTCTTCTCTTTGTGACCCTGTAACACAGTCTGGGTCTGGTGTATGCATTGCTATTGTTTTTTGACTCTTGCCTGATTACTTGGATGTGGCTGCTGTGCCTTTATTGTTGACCCCGGCCTGTTTTTTGACCATGTTTTTCCTTCTTCCTTTTGTACCTTTGTGCCTTTGTGTATTTCGACCTTTGGAGCGCACGCTGTGCTTCATTGACGTCCACCTTTCTCTTCTGCTCTTGCGTGTGATTCCCGTTGTGCTCAAACTGCCTGCCCCAGCTACTCCATTATTCTGTGGCAGAGAGTTTGAGTTCAGCTGTCATTTCTCACAATTTGTCGGCTTTGTCACGAGGTCAGTGTGGCGGGTTGCTAGTCGGGCCGTTTGTTTTGAGAAGCTGCTTTATAGGCATCATATGTTATTTGCTTGTGCAGACATTCACAGCCTATAACTTATTAACTGGGAAGGTATCATGTTTGTAGGGGTTTATGCGTATCTCACAGGCCTATTTCCTTAAGCATTATGCTAACTGCCAGCCTGTGTATTTTTCTATTTGAAATATTTGACACACTATCTAAATGTTACATGTAAAATTATTAAATGTAATTGTGGAGCATTTGACAGCCTGGGATAGGTGTTTTTTTATATTTAATAGATTGAGTCATGTTTCCATGACGACTAGGGGAGAAAATTAAAATAATGGAGCTCCAATGATCTACTTTGTGCTCTAGTGCTACGAATGTGAATTCTGGTCCCTTCCAAAGAGGTGGCACCTCAACAGGAGGATTTAGGATACAAAAAACCCGAAATCCATAATGGTACAAAAGCATGTCAGTCTACAAATTTAGTACAAATTAATTTCAAGATATTTTTTTATAGAGGCAATATAAACATTTAAAGGCATCATGAGCAGTGAAGAATTCAGTTTAGTGCTAAAATGAGAGATGAAATCTCTGTGTAAGGTGGTTTTAACGGTCATTAGCAAAACGCTAAGCAGACTGTGGTTTGCGGTTTTAGGGCGTTCTGCAGTTCTTTAACAATAAAAACAAAGCGTGTCTTCTAACATTCAATGGTCATGTGATTTAAAGTCGAACCGAGAAGTCCTGCTGATGACCGTAGCAGCCCTCATGATGGAACACCACAAAATCTGCAGGATAGAGGATTCCGCCCATGCAGGCCTGGAGCCAAACTCTCACCTGCAGTACTCAAATAAAACCTCCTGACCGTGAATGACCAAGCCCTTCACTGTCTGTCTGCCATGATGTATAGTATTCAAGGCACAAGGTTTATTTTGGGATTATTTTATGGACATCTTTCTCATAGCATTACTCCGAGTGCTTCTAGGTAGCTAGCCGTCTCGCAGTCAAGCTGATTTACGTAAATTACTGCAGCACGCAAATACAAAGCAGTATTTCAGGAGTAAAAAGGATGGTAGATCAGTGTTATAGAACGTTCTCTCTATAAAGCAGAGTTTCCTAGCCTGGTCCTCGGGGACCCCAAGACTTCCCACATTTTTGCTCCCTCCTGGCTCCCAGCCAATGGAGAACTCTGAATACCTGATACAGATGTGCTGGAAGCTGGGAGGGAGCAAAAATTTGGAGTTTCTGGGGGACTCTGAGAACTGGGTTGAGAAAATACTGCTATGAAGTATTGTTTTTGTACCCTGAAAATTTCAGGCCATATATTTGGGAGATACAGGGTTGACATGTAATGGGGGAATGACAGGATCTGGTTTCTTTAATTTTAATCCACGGAACAACCAAATGAATCAGAATGGCTCATGTATGCAATGTTACTGAATGGAGACATGAGAGATGCAGACTTAGATTAATACAGGGTACGGAGGTACCAGAAAGATGAAGGGTTAGGTTTGCTGTTCTGTAGTGAGAAGCTCGGCCCATACATCTGTGTTTGTGTGGTAGGTAGACCATGCGTGTCAGTGGCTAAGGATTTATAGAGGTCATATGTGGTTGATACGGCTGGTTGTCAAGGACATCGCACACTGGGAAAGAACCACTTATCCTGTGCGGAGTCACTCTGAGCCTGGAGCCTACCGTAGGAAGCACGGGGAAGCAATCAGAGGGACGTCTTGTGCGAGAAATCAGTATGACTGAGAGTTTCAGCATGAAAACAACTGACACAGTTGAGGAGAGTTTCATCTGAATGAGAAAATACAGCCTGTCACAGATGCTCCTTCGTTGGTTCGTCAAATATGTGTGAACCGCTCAGAGGTTCTCAGACACAAACAAGGATATGAAAGGACCCCCCCACCACACACACAGACACACACACACACACACACTCCAGCCCTTCAGATGTCTTGCAGCAGCCTGTCTCTTCTGGCGATCCCTCACGCACCCTGATGCCCACCGGGACGCTGGCGAGTCACTCTCCTGTGAGCCTCGCCTTGTTCACTCCCGTGAGAATCCAGAAGCAGCTCAAAGCTCTAAGCTCTGTGGAACATCTGCTGCTAAGCAGGCTGATCCTCGGCTCCCATTGGTGTGGAGTTACTGTGGGTGTCATACAGGAGGCTGACAGACCAGTGTCTATAAGGGAATGAGTTTATAATTAGCCATGTACTAGCAGCAGAGGAAGAAGAATTCCCTGTGTAGATAGAGGATGGATGGATGGATGGATGGATGGATGGATGGAACAATTAGTCTTATTCATCCATTTTCCATTTTACAGGCACTCAGGGTGGGATGAAGGTTCAGTACAGTATGCACAATCGCATGCACACACACACACACACACAAACACATGTAGGGTAAACATATCCTTATGGGGACCGCTCATTCATTTCAATGGGAAAAATGCTAACGCTAACTATGACAACCTTAACCCCTACCCTGCCCTAACCATAACCATAAGTAACCTAACAAAATACAAGAGTTTTTGCATTTTTAGTTTTTTCATAGCAGTCACTGATTTTTATAAAATAGAGTTTTCCCTTATGGGGACCAGGAAACCGGTCCCCATAAGGGAAAGAAAACGGATATTTATCACATTATGGGGGCATTATGTCCCCATGAGGATAGGTAAACCCACTCACACACACACACACACACAGAATTTATCCCAACAATGAAAACCTTAACCCCTACCCAGCCGTAGCCTTAACCATAAGTAACCAAACAAAATGCAAGTCTTTTGGCATTTGTGGCAGCCATTTATAACTTTGGGGTGTATTATGTATTTTGGCCACTGGGGGGTGTATTGCACGGGGTGGTCTAATCACATTAGGATAGGAGGTATGTGGTCACGTGAGGTCAGGTGGGTATGAATGGGTGTGTTCCCCTTGGACGGGGTGGATGGCGGAGGGAACACAGTTCTTACCGTAGCCCCCGTAGACGGCATGTTACAAACAGCACGCCGCCAGCACATTATTCAGCACAAGTGTAATATGCTAAAGATAAAAGTCCCTTTTTATGTGAACCAAAGATTTGTAATAAACAGGAACATCACCCAACTGCAGAGACTGCTCGGACGTTGGTCCTTAAAAGCTACGCGTTGAGAACACTTGGCCATCCATTCTGAGGCTTACAGGACAGCCTCTACAGTGTTTTTAGTTTTTGATTGCATTCAGAGGTTTTTTATAAAATTGAATTTCCCTCTGTGGGGACCAAAAAATGTTCCCACAAGGTCAAAATAACAGGTTTTTTATCATATTGTGGAGACATCTGATCCCCCACAGTGTAGTATATACATGCCCACACACACACACACACACACACACACATACATACAGAGCCTAAATCACACACCATGGGGAATCTGGGAAAAAAAACAACTAAGCAGGGAAAATTATTTCTGTTATTGTTTTATTAACCTTATTAAAATGTTGTTTTTTCAGATTATTGTGTTTTTTGCCTGAAACTCAGAATTAAAAACAGATCATACTCTGGTAAATTAAATGAAAGAATTAATTTATTTTAAGCTTATTACTTGAGTGTTTCAAACGTTATCAAAATATTGCCCATCGGTGCACTTCTAGCAGGTTGCAGATTTAAATGAAAACGGAACCATGTTTGACCAATATGACAACATGTATTAAATAATCGAAGGCTTATTGCCTGCTCTCTGTGTCAGAGGAAAAGCTCTGGAGAGCAATAAATCTTATAATGTAATGCACAGGGGAAGCACCTGGTGTAACACAGACATCATTCAGAGAGACCATGGGGGAGGGGGGTTGGGAGGGAGCTTGGCTGGGCCAGTCCAGCTCGAACAAACGTAACGAACCAACTCAGGTCTAACAAAGCCGCCTCTTACTATTTGCAGAAATCCATCTATAAACTCCAGATGGTTTTGCTTCTAAAACAAAATTCCATGTTACGTCTTAGATCCTGCTGATAATTATATGGGGATTTGGTCACAAAGGCTGTAAATGATATGCTGAAACGAGAGCTTGTCCTATGGTGGGTGAACGTCGTGTAACGTCCCCTCAAGGTCGCTTGTTACCTAACAGGAGTAATGAATGACAGCATATTCCTCTCGATTCTGTACATGCTGGTATTATAAGAAGGATGCCGCTTCTCTCAGCTGTTAATAAAGCTCATCATCAACACAGGACAATTAAGGAAAAAATGGATAAAACCAGGTGCAATTTTTTTGTAGTAAGCAGTTGTGTAAATAGTGCATTGAGCTTAAGAAGAGTACTAACATTATTTATGGGGTATTATATGATTTTTTTGTAGGGTTGGTGTACTAAACCTAAATCAGGTGATTTCATACATACTGATAATGAATGTTGTTTAATGACTCAGATTTTATTCTTCCTCTGTTGTTTCCTGTCCTCTGTTGTCATGTGTTTTTTTTTTTTACTATTATGAGTATTTCGTAACACTTTACAGTAACTGCAACTTCATAATGCATTCATTATGCATCCATAAAACATTCATAAGCAGTGTGTAAGTACATCATAACATCCTAACATGCCCTAACAGCTTTAATATACATTAATAAGAAACATTGTACGATTGTTTGATTATAAAGGTTAAGGGAATGGTTACCATGGGAATATGAAGGCATCATTTGAATCCCAGAATCCCAGAGAATCTAGTGAATCAGTGCTGCGTGAGCATGTCTTATATTAGCAATATTAATATTGGATTAGTATAACATTTTAAGCATCACATTTTCTTTCTGGTTCCAGTAAGCTGTTGGTGACCTCTGTTCTTAACCTATACAAATACCATAGTTAACAAGTGATGCATCACAGATATACAGTAGCAAGAAAAAAAACGTGAACCCTTAGGAACTACCTGTTTTTTTGTATTAAGTGGTCATGAAATGTGGTCTGTTCTTTATCTATCTCACAAGCATAGACAAACAAAATGGGCTTAATCTATTGACACAACAGTTGTAATCATTTATGTCAACACTGAACATTAAACGTTCACCGTGTTGTGGAAAATGTTAGTGATTTTATCACTAGCCTAACCTACTTTTGCAACAATAACCTGCAAACAAGGGCTTCTGCTAGCTGCAGATTATACATGCACACGTTCTGGAGGAGTTCTGGACTGTTCCTGCTTAAAGAACTGCTTCAGTTCAGCCTTGTTCTTCGGATGCCTGCTGTGAATCGCTCTCTCGACATCATTCCACAGCATCTTTACTGGGTAAAGGTCTGGGCTCTGGCTGGGCTACTCCAAAAGGTGGTGTTTTTAAAGCCACTCTGCAGCAGATTTACTTTGATGTTTAGGGTCATTGTCGTGCCACATCATTCAGCTTATACTGTGCTTCGGCTGGCAAACAGCCCCCCCCCAACATTACCCTGTAGGATACCTTGATAATCCTGGAAATTCATTTTCCCCTCGATAAGGGCAAGCTGTCTGGGCTCTGAGGCCACAGAACAATCCCAAGTCATGATGCTCCTTCTCCACTCTGCTTTCCCTCTGGAATGACGATTTCCTATTGCTATGTGGTGCCCGTTTTACTCCATATGTAGTGCTGCATGTTCTTCCCAAACAATTCAATCTTAGTTTTATCATTTCACAAAACATTTTCTCAGTAGCATCATGGAGTGTGATGTGGTCTTTGGGGAACTTTATCTGTAAAGCAATGTTTTTTTTTTTTAAGAGTACTGTGTTCCTCTCTGATGTCCTGCCATGGACACCATTCCTGTTGAACGTTTTGCATATGGTAGCCCCACAAACATCTGTATCAGGTATTCAGTAATTCCACCAAGCCTTCACCTCATTAAGAATTCTGCACTGCGTCGGGGCAGGCACCTTGGACGGGTGCCCACGAGAGTAGCTACAGCGCTAAACCGTCTCCATTTAAAGACAGTTTGCTGTGGACTCTAAACTAAACTATTTCAGATTGCTTTGCATCCCATTCTGGGTTTATGCGAATCAACGATTCTTGATCATGTGTTCTGGGTCTGATCTCTTCTTTATGAGACATGGTTCACATAGCAGACGGTTCTTATGAGCAGCAAACTGATAATGTTTCGGTGTCTCTAACCCACACCTCCAATCTCATTTCATCAACTGGACTGCAGCTCTGCTAACTGCTGACTCCATTTAGCTTTCGCTGAAGTCATTAGCCTTCAGGCTCTCATACTTTTCCCCAGCCTACACTGAGAATATGCAAAATACATAATAATAATTTGTTTTTAGTTAAGATAGATTGTGTTAATTTATTATTGTAACTTTGTGCAAGAAGACAATTTTATACATAAATGCAGGTAATTCAAAAGGTTTACATTATTTTTTGCTGTATTACAGTGCTCAACAGTAGAATTACAGCTGTATACAGAAGTCTGGAGACCGGCGGTTGCATAGATTGATTTTTGCACTTAAAGGAAACACCTAAGAAAGTTTCTGTACTAGAAGACTAATGCAAAAGTGGGAAAAACGAACACTAAGTAGAATGACTGTTTGGAAGTGATTATTTCTTCCGAAAGAGGTATTAGTCCTGGCAGGCGGGTGCGTATACAACATTTATTGTTCGTTCCTAATTTTTTTAATGTATTCTGCTATAAAATGGTAATAATAGTAATCGCACATGTGCAGAATTGTGTCCTACCTTTTAACGCTTACTTATATATTAAGCAAAACCTAGAATTGTGTGTTGAAGTTTCTACGTATATTGCATCTCATCTTTGTCTTCCATATGATTAATATAAGGAAATTTATAATGAAACAATTTTTATGTATAGCCATAAATTTCAAGGACAATTTAATGGATCATTTTCTCTTTTCTGGGCACAGAAGAATTTGTGGAATGGCTGACAGCACCCTGAGGGAGAGCCTGTTTTGTTTGCGTCTGCCATATTCTGGCGTCAGCAGTGTGACTGGGTCCTTGGCCCATGAAACAATGTTGCATTGTTCGGGACTGCCGCACCTTATGGGCACTGACTCTTGCGCTTCTTCGCAACTTATGTTGGCTGCCTCCTGCTGCTCTGAAAATTCGTAAATCAAAGCACTGTTTGCCGGAGCTCCTTAATAGCTAAGACATACCGCTAACTGGCATTTAAGCCAAAGTGACTCACCATCGTGGCAGTATTTGTAATCTTGATTTAGTTGCTTCAATATTAAAATTACCTTTCATGGGGGGTTTCCCTTATTACGCACATCGGGGTGGCACTGGTGCTCAGTAGGTGGTGCTGTTGCATTAAACCCCCAGGTTACCGCTTTGAATCTCCCTTCTGCTCTGTGTGTGTGTGTGTGTGTGTGTGTGTGTGCACATTGACATGGTCCAGGGTTTGCTCACACAGACAGGCTAATTGGTACATCATAAATGCTTAGGATGCCCCCCCTATAGGCCTACAGTGCCTCAGATAGGCTAGAAGATGGATGATTTATTCAGGGTGCATAGGAACCAGGGACAGTGTGAACCCCCCCCCCCCAAAAAATTAATTTGGTCTCATCTGTTCCCTCCCAATTAACAGACATTTGCATTTAAATTAACAAATTGTGCCCCCCCATATAAAACTGTCTCCTGTGCCACTGGATATATTTCCCCCCCAGTAACCTGAGC